GCTGCTTATGATTCACATTCTCATCATCCCCTTCTTCCCTTTGAAAATCATCCCATACATCCAAACCAATATGACCTCAGTAGTTCAAAAGGCGAATAAATCAAAGATAGTTTTTAAATGTGTGGGGGAGTGGCTAGTTTCAGATTCAGGAAATGGCCTCAAAGTGGTTACAGTCCCTTGACAAGAGTCAGTTTCAGGCCTACAGGTAAAAACTCAGGCTTTGGGACCAGGATTTTCTTATTCTCCACAGAGAGAATCACATGATTACAAAGCACCAACTGATGGCCGCTACATGGCTCAGTCTTGTTTGGCATGGAACATGGAAAATTACTATTTCCAGGCTCTCTGGAAACGGAGTGATCTGGCATTACTGAGACAATGTGGCGACATAGTAAGGATTAGCTGGGATAGGGAAGCTTGGATGGGTCCTGAGAACCACTATTTGCAAAGTCCCATCGCAGCCTAGTCCACTTGGGTCGATCTGCCACCTGCCATATGACAATTAAGAATTCTGCCTTAAGAGACAGCCAGGCAATTGGGGTAAGTAAGGTACAAGAACCATGAAACCCCAGTGCCGTGGTGGCCTGTGCCTTTAATCTAGACGCATTTAACATTAGACTCTTACCAGCTCCTCACATAAAAGATCTGCTTTAATTTTAGTTCCCCTCCCATTTGTCTCAGGGTTATGTAACCTCACAGGAGGTCACACAAGTCTCCCAAAAAAGAAATTTAAGCTGTCTTTTAAAAATAAAAAAAGAAAGAACCGTGCATAACAAAGACAAACACAGAACTGAAACTTGCATTTTTCTCCCTGACAAAACAGCTTCACCCTCCCTGTTAATCTCAAAAATTATAATCTTAAGGGAAAAATAAATGAAAACACAGAGGACAGAAAGCTGTGGCCTGCCCCGAGGACATCCGATATGCTATACTCTCAACCTGCCGGCAAGCAGAAAAATATAATGAATGTCTTACCATCTTCCAGCTCGAGGCATAGATTATAAACAGCCACGGGTCTCTTGGTCCTCTGGCCTTGCCTCTTGGACTGCCTTGGTGGAGCGTTTGGGGGTGAAGCCGACAGGCAGATGGGCTCAGGAAATGTGGTGTCAGGCGAGGTCCGAAAAATCTGCCATCAAAGCATAAAAGACATCGGTTGTTGTCCATGAACAGAAACCTGTGTATTGCTAAAGCAAACCAGCATCCAACAACATTTGATTTGGAATTCAGTCACAATAGAGCAAAGCCAAAATCCATTCCTTCAAAATTTGGGGAATAGGTCAGAAACCTTTTACTTTTTTAAATAGAAGGTTTCAAAAGAAAAATTCTCATTAAATACAAACAGCAAACCATATTTCCAAATTTTCCAAATATTTCCAAATTTTCCCCTAACACTAAGCAAAACAAATTATTTTTACCAGGAATAGACAACAC